GTAACAACTACTGTTCAACACCTGTATATCATAATTTTCTGACACTGTCTTACATTACTGTGATGGCGCTAATAAAAAATTCTTGCTCTTCCGAAACTTTCTTTTCGCGAAGGTTCGGTGACCTATGACACAAGCGACCTACGTCCTCCATGGAAGCCTTCTCTCAGCCACCTCAGAGAGCTGACAGCGGTTCAAACTTAATAGGAGGTGTGACAAAAACAAGCTCGGCCATTCATTTTATGCAAGGACATCACGGTGCAATCACACCTGATTCGCTCTTAACTCTCTTTGAGCCATACTGAATGAACCGATTTGAAGTTTACAATATTGTCAAACACCATCCTCCAAAAGAGAGATAGAGACAAACAATTAAGTTAATGATAAGGTTAACAAATAAATTTTACGAAGACAGACGTTAAAACTTAAAACTATTCTTGCTGAGTTATAAGAGTATCGTAGGTGAGCAAATAATGCTAAACAACATATTAACTGCTCAGAACCATTCTAACACGAACGCATTGATGAAACATTACCAACACACCCCTTGAAGTAACCCTTGAAAAACTACACATCTATGAGAGAACACTCAGGCACGCGCCAAATGTTTCTCATTAAAAGTTGTCCCAACTTTGAATGCTCTGTCAGCCCAAGTGACCACAGCCCTCTTAATAGCTCCTAAAAAAGATTTTACAAAGACGTATTCTTCTGTTTGGATTTTCTGTGTCTGATGCATGTCTCGAAACTTCTCTGCTGCTGAGCGGGGTTAATGGTTTCTAATCACCAACATAGAGCAACTGAAAAGAACCACACTGGCCGCCGAACCTTTGAAGAGTTAGTGTACAGAGGAACACCTAATCAAGATGAAATGGCTCGATCATACAGGTGTCGTTTCCCTTTGTAATCTCTTTCTTTACATATTAAGTAAAATATTCAAGTTGCAATCCAAATATGCTCTTCAGAAGTACTAAAAAGTATATTGCAGACTGTCAGAATAAAATTACTCAGTATAGACAATTGTGTCTTCCACGTAGATACTCATAGTTTTGATAGTGACGATAATAGGAAATGTCAGTCATTCTACTAGCATGTGTGTGTGCTATTAATTGACTCAGATCTAAACCCTGTACTGGTGAGGCAAACCAATGAAATGCAGCCTGTTACCAAATATCATGCTTACCACAACATCCTTTTGTGATCGCTACATATGTTAAAAAATTATATCATTAGTTCGTTGTCTAATTTAAATTTCTTTAGTAGTCCAGTTCAGCTAATTAGCCTGACCTATGCAAATAGTTAGTCAAATATAACCATAATTGGCCATTCGATTTCATCAGTAAATTTTCGTAGCATTCAAAACTTCGGTGATAAAAGGTTTGTGAACATGTCGACCACTTGTAAATTTATTTTGCTTAAACAACGTAGATGTCCATCAGCTTCAATTCATGCAAATAAAGACGCTATATTTATCTGGATCCAATTCTTTATCTTGTTTATTCACCAGATATTTTATTCTCTCAAACTATGAATTATCCCTAACTTCTTTTCTTTCGATAGTCGTTTGGCCGATTTCCGATTCTGGAGATCCATCGCGAAACAACAAAAATTTATGTGTAAAGTATGTAATGTCAGCACCATTAGCTCTAAACGCTGCCTCATTTAATCTCGTCAATTATCATCAATTTCGCCCTTTTTATTCTGACACTTTATTCCTTCCACACTAGGCGCACTAACGACCAATTAACTTACATTACTTATTTTCCTAAGCATTCGACCACCACTTGGAATTTGCATTTTATCGTTATTATATTTCAATTTTGAACAAGCTGATCACTTTCTAGGTATCGTGATCGCTGCTGGTATTCAGGAACACTACTACCCTGAGGTAAACTCTCGCTGCAGTTCACAAATTTATAAATAACTATCAACTAGCTCGTAAATGTTCACACTGTGGCTGACCGACAATCACTCAATATTCAAACGGTGACAGTTGTTTACAAAAGAATATAGAACAACAAATGACACCCAAATGTAATAATATGGGACGTTACTTCGATCTAGCTTTTTAGACCTTGAGAGCCACAACTATATAACAGTAACTAACTCCGCATACTTGCTTAATTACGCTTGTTACCCTCAATGGTGCAGAGGTCGCTGACCAGCATTGTATAACTTACTCTGCCCCCAGCCTTCCCGTCTAGTTCTACCCATTTGCCTTTCATTTTTATTGGATCTATCTCCATTTCTCGCTGTAATATGTTTTTGGTTTTCCTTTTTTCCTTCGGCCTTGAAGATTCCAAGAGCGGGCATGTCTTGTGACGTAATTGGTTGCGTTCCTCACTTTTAGTACTTCTTCCTGATTTATACCCCTGCTGGAATCTTGTTTGCACCGTCCCATAGTAGGTTGTTGAGGATAGTATCTGAGAGCTAATAATTAGCCCTTGTAACACCTTGATGATGGCTTCTGTAGTTCAACAAGTTTACGCCACATACAACTGAAATGTCTTGACATTTGTGTTGGAAACTGTGACTTGGGTGTTGGTTGATAGTTGTTCTGAGTTCCAGAGGTAGAAATATTGCTCCCGTTTTACTAACCCATGCCTTCGCATTTGCATCAGATCCACCTCACTCATCAGTGATGCGCCTAATATGCTTAAATATTATTCCATCGTCCAAAACTTCTCCGTCAAGTGTGATTCAGTTGGTGCATGTTGTGTTGATGCGGAATATCTTGCTTTTTCTCTTTCGTATGGCGCGACCTGTTGCTGCAGAGCCAGCTGCTACATTGGTCGTCTTCTTCTATATCAGTTGTTGTGTGTGGAATGGAAGATCCAGATCATCTGTGAAGTCCAAATTTTTCAGTCGTATACTAGTTTTTCACTGTAATCCGTGCTTCCCCTCAGATGTTGACGTCTTTGTGGTTTAATCGGTCACCAGGCGAAAGACGAAGGGTGAGAGTAAACAACCTTGCCTAAAGCCAATCTTTACCTCAAACGAAACTGCGAGCTGTCCTTCGTGTACGTTCCTACATTGTAATCCATCATAAGAACTCCACATGACGTTGAGTATGTTCTCAGACACAACAGTGCCCAAGAAGCCTCCATGGTGTTGTTCTGTCCACTCTGTCAAATGGTTTCTTATAGTAAATGAGGTTGATGTAGGGTGGTAAATCTCACTGAATTGGCTGCTCCACAATAATCCTTAGTGTCACGAATCGGCCAGTACATGATCGATCCTTTCGGGATCCAGCATGCTGATTTCCGACTTAGGTGTCTAGTGAATCCTTCATTCATTTCAAGAAACCTCCATCGACGACTAGTGCTGGTAATAAGAAGAGAGTGATGTAGTGATGTAGTACTCACACTTACTGAGATAGCCTTTCTTTGGTATCTTGATGAGGTGTCGTTCTGCCCAGTCTGTTGGTACGTGCTCTTCATCACAAATCTTGTTGAAGAGAATGTGCTGTCTAGTGCTCCTTCAGTTTCAGTTACAACTTAGCGACCAGCAAATGGTGATAGTTGATTTCTCTCTGTGTTGTGATCCGGTGAAATCCATGTGGCTTTCTGTATGCGTTTATGTGGGAATGTTGTGCCATCGATGACCAGCTCGTTCAAGGCACGTAGGTCTGCAAATCTGTCACCATTTTCGTTCCTTTCTCCCAGTCCATGTCGTCTCATGATGTCTTCGTATTCACGATTATCCATTCAAACCTTCGATTCCAGGTTTCACATCAAAATATTTAAGTCCTTAGTTGGGCGTTTCTCAACGATTGACTAAAGCTTGTAGTAGCATATATGTTTAATATCCGCATTTTTACGTTGTCAAGTGCCCAACACTAGATAATGTTCATTGTAATATCGTCTTTCTCTGATTATGAGGAGGCTTTAATGATCGTGGGTCCATGAGATTTCCATCCCATCATTGCTTTTTGTGCTTCTTTAAACAGCACCAGTGAAACTCCTCGTGTATGTGAGGCATTTTCCCCAAAATGGCTGGAGAATAACAACAGGTCTTCTGAAGTTACTCTTTGTTGTCCAACCTGCATTCGATATGTCCCACTGATCCCACGCACCTCCAGGCTGTTTCCTTCCATTTCTGAAGTAATTATGATGACTCTCCCGGTCTCTGACATAATACAATCTATGTATCTAAATTAATGGTTGGTGGGGTTGTTAGAATATGAATCGGCCTCTTGACTTCCGAAGGAACTCAGCATTAATCATTATTTTAAATAAAGACCATCTAACTCCCAAGCAAGAGTTCAAAGGTATTGAATTATTTTCCCTGCTAACCGTTTTTTAGTGAGTTACTGTTTTTCTGGTTGAGGTGGCTAACCTCATGCCCAACCCTTCTCCTTTCTCTGGGCTTCAGACCGGCAGTAGCCCAAGAGGTCCTCTTGGTGGATTTATATAATGCTCCGCCCACACTATACGGGTTATCCAAATGATGTATACCAAAGATAACCGAATAATGAACAGATAATTATGATCTATGAAGGTAAATAACAGATACATTAGAGATCTTTTCTCATGATAGCTGATCAAGTGAACACCAGGAGTGTTCGAGCAGCAGTGTATTTGATAGCAGTAATAGATGTGTCACGCAAGTTCAAACCATGGTTAGATTTAAATAACTATTTCACACTCAATAGCAGGGAGAGCATATTTGAAGTGAAATAACGAAAAATATGAAATATAAAATGTGCTGTTTACAAAGTAAGTTCATGTCAAACATTACATGATACTCATTTTACACGAACATATACTTATGTTCGTACTGAGACAACAAGATAGTAGTGCAAAGAAATTGGAGATTGTACTGTCCTCCTGTCCTTGTTGCTGATAGCTGGACACGTGCCCGGGTTGTAGGACACCTGCGTTACTCAAATTCACGCGGATGGAAGATAAGCTGGCCGAGGATGGCACAGACTGTGAGAGTGAAACAGACAGTTTGTTAATCGACGAGTGTGTTGACTCAAAATCGTTGTTAATGAGCCATATTGAATGGGTACGAAATCAAAGGAAAAAACCTTTTGAACTTCCAGAAACAGTCAGCATTATTGACTGTGATAATCAATGTAAGGTATATTTGATCGGAACTGCACATTTCAGTGAGGAAAGTATCGCTGACGTCAAAAAGGTAATAGTTGATCTAAATAATATTTGTTAGGTTATGGAACAGACCCACCCGGATATCGTTATGCTGGAACTCTGTGCCAATCGCAGTCATACCTTGACAATGGACGAAGAGAATATTAAAAAGCAATTAAAAAGCGTTAGTATAACATCAGTAATTCGAAGCGTAAGTTTTAATCGATGAAGTGATTGAAAACCGTCAAATATTTGATCCTTTTGTGTCTAACACCAAAATAATATTCATCACATGTCCCTTGAGTTCGATCTTGAGTAAATGCAATCTTTAAACTTTATTGCTTTCAGTTGAATCGTTAAGTACATCAGTAATCATGCATTTCGCCCAATTAATAAGCCATGTACATTCAATAGTAATTCACCATATTTGATTAGACGGACACAAATGAGCGTACATTCGATAATCTAGTAGCAACAGTAGTAAGATAGACTAAACATTGGAAATGTGATTCATGGAGTTAGGTTTAAGGATGTGTGTGGAGATTCTGGTATCCATCGGAAGTTTTCAACCACTTAACAGGACCCCAACTTTTTAGTTTGAATCTACCAATACCCATCAGGTCAGCAGTTAGCAACTCTGTGGATTGATGTTATATCGTCCTTTGATCATTTAACTATCGCTGGGTAAACGTAACGGTAAACTTACTGACGGGTTTACATTACTATAATCAGTGTTATTGCTAGTGTCCACCAATAATTCTATACAACTCAAGTAGTAGTCTTGATGTCTACCACATTTTCGTTTATCAACTGCCTTGAACCATACATTATAGCAAGTAAACAATCAAGTTCCCATCTGAAACCCTATTATTGACACTCAAGTAACTAACTCATCAAATTACAGAACCTACAGATAAGCATTAATCTTAGTGTTTTAACATTACTAACAAATGAAAATGTTTATAGGTTAACTTTACGTACCCATAGAGTGTTATTTCCAAAAGTAAAGCCTGGTTAACAAAGCAACTTGACAAAATGAATCCATCGCCGACTAAAAGCATGTGAGCAGCTTTACAATGAGTTACCGTGATTTCCGAACACTTTTCCTGCTTAATAATACTTTGAAATTATTCATTCTCACTGTAAAGTGAAGTTTAGATAAGAGTTTAAGAATTAAGCAATGACTATAGATTTCTACCTGGTTTTAAGAACTTCATTTCATTGTTTGCATCACCCCGCAACTTACTGTGCTTCAGTGTACAGTAAGGCTACTTAATCTGATAAACTCGGGTTTGGTCCTCCCCTTATATAAATTTACGTTGTTATTAATTTTTTGTACTCTGTTGCAACGTATATCTATATATCATCTTAACTTATTTTCGCTCAGCATGGTGTCAGTTCAGGCGTTCTGCATTATTTATTGCTCCGATTAAGTGGCTATTTGGTTGATACTCTTGGAATGGCACCTGGTGGAGAATTTAGAGCTGCTGCGAATGAGGTAAGGTGTGTATAACTCTTATTATTCAATACGGCAATTCTTCGGTAAGATATTTATTACTGTAAAGTTGTTTGTCTAATGATAATTATTCATACTAATACCGACCATAGCTGCTACCTGGACGTGGTGGTCGGGTTTGTCTATCGTGATGATCCAACCCAGCTATATTGGCTGGAATATATGTTCCTGCAGGTTCTACCATGCGAGGCAGGTTGATTGGAGAACGGTGAGGCTAAAAGCAACAACTGAAGGTCCGAGGACGAAGTTGTACTGCTGACTGTAGAGGAGTATGACAGCAATAAAGTGTTTCCCTCGGACACCAGCATCTGCAGCGATGTTGGCTTCTCACAACGGAAGGGGTTAGAAAAGGTTGACCCTAAAAATATCACACCTCACCTTACCCCACGGATTTCCATCTCCGTCGGTAAGGCCACTATGAGCGGATCTAACACTTTAACAGTTTCTCATAGAAGACCCGTGCTTGACCGGCCTCAAGCAGTTGTCCCTTGGACTCTGCGGTCACTCTCTCAGGTCTCCAAGACCGACGCTGATCTAACTTCCTTTTCATGTTCCTCAAGAAACACTTCTATGGTGTGGGCTGCCCGGGAAGTGACATCCGCCCTCATACCCATCACAGCACATGACTGATTCTAAATTTACTGGCTACTTCCGTTATGATACACGTTTAATGCTATATTTACTCACTAGCAAATATTTTTCGATGTCTTAAAAAGTAATTTTTGTATATTTGTTTGGATGTACTGTACAGGCGATGAAACAGCCTCACTGTCACATTGTTTTGGGTGACCGTCCAGTAAACATTACACTTTACAGAGCTTTGGAGGCTTTGGGTCCGTGGACTAAACTGAAGTTTTTCATTGCTCTTCTATTCAGTTTTCAGCCTGTTACGTAAGTGATTGCATATAAATTTACCATGAATAGTTTTTTTTAGTAAGTAGCTTTAATGATGAGTTTCGGTTTAAATGCTGTAGTTAGTCTACGTATATCAAGTGGCTTTACTTTTCTTTCGTTGAATGTAATCTCATAAGCGGAGTGTTTGTAAACTTTTGTTGATTGGAAAACACAAATCTTAATACTTCAATAAACATTATTATTGAAATTTATCAGTCGCTCCAGTTTCTAAAAATTCTAACATTCCACTATTAGAATCAGTGATTTGTAGCTCAGTTGGTGAAAACTATCCGGTTTGATTGCGAAGAACTGTTATTACTTGTTTCCCAGGTTAATAATATATGTTTTTACCTTTGTTGTGTGATGCATGGAATTTGACTAGTATCCCATGGTTTTCGATTTTAACATTGTGATTTATTTCATTTTAGTAAAGAACAAATTGAAGAGATGAAGAAATCAGATTTTTTAGAAAAACTTTTAGTTTCAATGGCTGGTGAACATCCGGAATTGACACATATATTATTAGATGAACGAGATCAATATCTAGCCCGTTCTATATGGGAGGCTACTGGGATGGAAGAATATTTAAAGGCGCAAACATTAAAGATGAATTCTGTTTCTGAGGCAAACAATTCATCAAATAATGAGGAGTCTGTTGTGCAACACCGTAAAAATATTAACCAATCTGGTGACTATCCACTTGGTGAAAATGTTAACAGTTCAGAACGAGATAATCTCCCGGCTGATACCTCTCCTCTGCATCTGAGTTGTTGTTCACACTGGCCACCAATCAGTGTATTGCCAAGAGTTGTTGTTGCTGTTGTTGGAATAGGTCATGTGGCTGGAATCCGCAAAGTATGGTCGACAGTACACACAATCAAGAAACATGAATTATGCGTGTAAGTGAAAATTCAAAGAATCTTCATAAATTTCTTACATAGTAATCATTTTATTTTAGATTTGTCAACTGTTAGATTCCCAGCTGTACAGCCCATGAGTTACATTTTACTATCCACTACTGTTTTTAGAGTATTTCATAAATGTCTCTTAACTTCACACATGTAGTTACTGAAGCTTAAATAGGTCTTATTTGTTTGCAAACGCCCTAAGACGTGTGCTGTTTTCATTATCAAATTATACCACTTACTAATGTGATATTCGCTACAGACTGACATCAGCTGGAGATTCCCTCTTAGAAAAGGTGAACACAAAACTGCTGTTTCATGTCAGTTTAAAGCTTTCGGAATCACATCTAAGACTGTTAGCTTCTGTGATAAACCGCAAATTCAGACACAACCGTCCACATTCCCAGCTTCATTCAATTCTAACTTGAGGCTCATCTAATACTTTTTACTGTTCACTGGTTTTCTTTCCTGGTCAACATGCCTGAACATCTTTGAGGGGTCTCCAAAATCACCCAATCATTACCACAGAAATCATTTTGACTAATATACTGTCTAAACTACCCTCAATGGTCATCATACGCTTAGGGGAATAAAACTTATTCGGAGTAAGCGTGAATTTATCGACCACTTTCTTATCCTTCTTTAGGGTATCTACCGACGTCCTGCAGTAGTTGTATATCTTTACTCCTAGGAGCCACTTTGTTAAAACTTCCTGGGTCTCCGAAGCATAGCTCGGGTATCCTGGTATAACCGAGTAAGCAGTGCTGTTGTTAGGAAACAGGTACTAGGTAAGGATAGCAGATCAATAGATGAAGTAATGAAACACCATCAGTTGAGATGGTTAGAACATGTGCTACAAATGCCCAACCACTGACTGCCTCGACGAGCGATGCTGCCTGGTGTACGGGTAGGTTGGAAGAAAGCTAGGGGTGGCCAAACTAAAACGTGGCACAAATCCATGACGTCACTGACAACTGGGTTGAGTCATGTCGTTAAGTGTCGGCTATCTGGTTGGGGCCCGCGAGATGATAGTAATCAATGGTTAGAGACCTTGAATTACATGGCCCGAAACCGTCGGCGATGGTGCAGGTGTATTCGTCCTTTGTGATCTCTGAAATCCTAACTACTGCTTTAATAATATCCTCAAACCCTAATCTATCCGATTACTGCTAATATTTCTACTACCTCTGTTACTATGGAATTTGAATTGACAGTTGCGTCTCTGTGTTAATGTGGTATGGCCACCTGAACTGATGTACTTACTTACGAAGTTCTACGTTACAAGTGACTGACGTGGGGTCGACCTCCTCCATGGAAACTCATCGCTATGACGTACGCAGAAAATATAATGGTGTCTGGTGAGGACACTGACAATAGGGAGTTCCGTGGGTGCCTCGCGTAACAGTACGAGCATATTCAGAATGTCTTGAATACAGTATTGCTTCACGACTAGTGTACATCATCGCCTAGATTTTTCTACGTTAGCCACTCCATTTATTACAGAAGCCACATCAGCCTTGGTAGTCTGGCGAAATTTGAGCAGAAAACAAGTATAATGAGTAGCGCGGTACATTCTGTAAAACATACCTACAGTCAGTCAGTCAGATGCAACGTAGAACTTCGTACGTAAGTACATAAGTTCATGTTGCCATACCACATCAGTACAGAGATATAATTGTCGATTCAAATCCAATAGTAGAAGAGGTAGTAAAGGTATTAGAAATAATTGGAGAGGTTAGGATTAGAAGATATTATTCAAGAAGTATGATTCAGTGGGAAAAGTTTAGAAAGACAAAACCAGAGGGGTTGAAGAATCCAGAAGATTAGGATTTGAGATAACTTAAAGAATAAATGCACCGGCGCCATTGCAAACGGTTTTGAGCCATGTCATTCAAGGTCTCTAACCATCGATTATTATCATCTCGCGGATCCCAACCAGGTAGTCGACAATTACCGACATGGCTAAGTCCACTCGTCAATGATTTCATGGATTTCTGCCATGTTTTGGTTTGGCCGTCCCTAACTTTCTTCCAACCTATTCCTACACTACAAAACAAAGCTCATCGAGGCAGTCGGTGGTTAGGCATACGCAGCACATGTCCCAACCACCTCAACTGATAAAGTTTCACAGCCCTATAGTAGGACAGAGCGAACTACTGCACAGTGCACTCGTCCTTTAGTCAGCAAACGGATATCTCATCAACGCCATAAGTGACGCAGGTTGGCAAAAGCAAATCGAGGTTTCTGTATCCGTGCTGAGATTTCGTCAGTCACCAGGCCATCAGCACTGATGAGACTCCCCAGATAAGTGAAGCGGTCAACACGCTCGACTACTCCACTCCCTATCACTAGTTCAGGTGCCGATGCAACCCAATCTTGAAGCAACATTTTGCATTTCGAGGGGGAAAACCGCATCCCGAACATGCTTGCATTGTTGCTTAGGGTAATCAGAAGACTCTGCACTTTGTCAGCGTCTTCACCAAGTAGGACAATGTCATCGGCATATTCTAAGTCAATAAACGAGCCACCTGGTAGAAGGTCTACTCCTGAAAACTCAGACGAGGATAAGGTTATATCTAGCAGTGTGTCTTTGATAAAATTAAACAAGAATGGAGAGAGTGGACATCCCTGTCGGACGCCACTTGAAGTGAAGAATTCAGGTGACAGTTCGCCATAAGCTCTCACTCGACCAGTGGTGGTCGAGTAGAGAGCTTGTATAAGGTTAATGTACTTCTTTGGTACATCTTTCAATGACAGACACTGCCACAGAACTTCACGATCCACTGAGTCAAATGCCGCCTTAAGGTCCAGGAAGACAACTATTGTAGGACGCATAAATGTGTGTCTGTGTTCCAGGACCTGTCGTAGTGTGAAGATGTGGACTAGGCAACCACGTCCAGGTCGAAAACCAGCCTGGTTTTCTCTAGTCTGCTCTTCACGAGCTTTCGTTAAGCGTCGAAGTATTATTATTGAGGCCAATATTTTAGATACTATATTATTTAGACTTATTCCCCTGTGAATGTCACAGGAAGACTTTCGTCATTTCTTATAGAATTGGACAATCACTGATTGAGACCACTCGGATGGGATTACGTCCAGTTCCCAGTTTCTACCTAAGATCTCAGTCAGTTTAGCTGCTGAAACTGGACCACTATCCTTAAATATCTCAGGGGTCAGTCTATCAGGACCTGCAGCTCGCCCTCGCTTCAGATTTCCTAACGTTTCTTCAACTTCATAAAGAGTCGGGGAACTTACGTCGATTTACCATTCAGGGTGACTGGAGATCGTGGGTAACCGAAGAGTGGCTCGAGGCCAGCTGAACTGATCCAGAAAGTGTTCAAAACATACCTACATGCACATCTCATTCTACTAATATACTGTAGTAATGATATTTGTGTCGGATTCTATATTCTATGCATGATTACCTGTGAATTTATAGCTAAAAACAATAGTTTCACAATACTTCTGAATTATTTATTATTCTTTGCTTTACATCCACTTACAATAATGAAATCTTGAAAATTTAGGGTTTGTCTGTTTGTTGTTTGTTAATGACAAGTTATCACATACATCAATCAAATCGTTTTTATTCTATTCTATTGTTTCTTTTTTTTTGTAGACTATTAGAACCTCCACTTTCATGGCGTATATTTAAATGGTCATTACGAGGAGTTTTAATTTCATTAGCTGCTGGAATTGTTTATGGTGCGGGTCGTTGTTCATATATTTTCGGTTCTTTTGTTTATAGACAATTTTTGTAAATAATTATTTGTAGTGTACATGGTGTATGTGTGTGTGTACTAAAAGCCCAAACTGTGATTTTTTTTTTCTAAAAATGTTTTTGTTGACTAATAATTATATAACTGGTGTAATTTGGGATATTATATTTTGTTGTATAATTCTTTTTTTTTGATGGGGGGAGGCGGTGAGGGTTAGGTTTTTTTTCAATTAATTCATTTTTGGGAATATATCTTTTCCATTTTGTGTCTGGTTTGTTAATTTTGTACATGTATGTTTTCAAAAATTTATTTCACTGATAGTGTTTTCTTATTAATTCAATGCGTACCATAATATTTGATTTTGTAGCTAGTTTCGAAAATTATCTAATGATGGCTGACTTGTCAATAATAATCATTTGAAGGTATTAAGAAAACTAAAGCATTCTCATTTTGTATTTATAATACTGTTACGCATGAACGTAAACATGTCAATTTGATATGCTTGAATTATTATTATGAGTTAATCTTAGTCGGAAAACGAGAGCGAGGATCCGGTGACACGACAGGCTACTCTAATCCGATTGTCCCAACACCCCATTGAGTAAAAAAAAGAAGACTTGATATGAAGTAGAACCTGTATTCTACAAACATCCAGAAAGTACGAGGTCCGGATCCAGAAGAGAATAAGGATCCCAGACTAGAATCCGGGTCATAAAACGTTAGAGATAATGTGTATTTATACAGTGAGGGCGACCAATAGGAAACAACATTGAAGTGTGTGACATTGATAGCTAGGACGATCATAATATTGACCAATAGAATCAGACTTATAAAAATAATTCTCTTAGGATATTTGATGAGTATCCTAACAAATACACATGATTTGGATTTAAAAATCAAATTATTTGATAGGTTATGGATTAGTAAGGCAGCTCATATGAAAGTAGTATAAGAAGGTTGAATAAATGAAGTCTATTAAACGTTTCCCAAAGAAAATCAAACAGTGATTGGGACATTTAGATCCTAAATATCCATGTTTTGAATAAACAGTGCATTTATTCTTTCTAATACGCCATTCATTTAGATATTAATTTTTTACAGGAAGTGTTTACTTTCGTGAAGATTCAATAGGATAATATATGTAGCAATGAATTTTGTATTTGTAATGCTCTGGAAACCAAATCAAATCAATTCGTATTGTTAGCTTGACTGTGATTTTCTCAACACTAAGTATACAATATTTGACGGTTCGTGTAATATCAGTCATCATTACTAAATCAGAATTATTATTATGGTGACGTACGTGTCATGTTTTAGAACTAATTGTCTACTTAGTTCCTCTAATATCTTATTAGAATCTGAAATCGATTGGAATAATCTATATTTTGATTAAAATTATTGATCGTTTTGATGTACTTAAATGAAAAAATTATCAAGTGATAAGAATTTATGCAACTTGGGGATTGTAGGTATTTCATGAGTGGATCAAATATAAGTTGGTATTTCATAAATTCTACTTTTAATGTAACAGGTCTCTGTGGTGTGTGCATTTGGGTGACCAATAAGTGTGACATACCATTTTTACTACATTGCTTTCACAGGTTTAATGATAAGTTTATCTTTTAAGAATGCATTCCAGATAGTAGAGTATTAGATAAGAGCTACTTATCTGAAAGTCAGTAAACTTACTTACTTACGCCTGTTACCCCCAATGGAGCATAGGCCGCTCACCAGTTTTCTCCAACCAACTCTGTCCTGGGCTTCCCTTTCCAGTTCTGTCCAATGTTTAATCATTCCTCTCATACCATTCTCCATTTCTCGGCGTAATGTGTTCCTTGGCCTTCCTCTGTTTCTGTAAAACAATGACCATAACATACCTGTCATGAAGAAAAAATAATATAGGAACTAAACGGCAAATAAGTGACAATCGCATAGGATGCTTGATTGTGTAAAAGTTAGATAGTGAGCGAAATAAAGAGACAAGAAATTCCTATTTCAGGGAAATAAGTCACCTTAGGGTTTTTCACAGTTTAGGATACAATAGTTATCAGCATCATCATTGCATCACGAGTTTGCTAAAGAAAATCCTCACCCAGCAAAACTGCTTGTTGCAATTCCCAAGCATTTACACTTGTGACTAATCAGCAATTTCTTTGGTCTTATGTGTGATCAATAAGATAATGGGTTTAAAGACTTTGAAACGATTCAATAAAAACCCTTAACTTACCCATCAATGTGTTAATAAGTTTTAATAAGATATTATTCAATTCAGATAAAAGAAAATGTACACCACAAAAAGCGTAAACCATCATATGAAAATTTGAATTAAATAATCCCAATGATTATGTATCAATCAAATGAAAATGTCTTTCTGACGAGCTATTATAAACCGATCAATTTCTTCGCGCTTGCTTCTTGTTGTCGTGGTACGGTATAGTATTTTACAGTGGATGGTAATCTGGCCACATGACTGCATTAATCTGTAGTAGTGGAAAACTTTTACGAAGAAAACGCGATTAGTGAAAAATAAACATTTATTACTGTACTCCTTTTGTTCAATTGTGCTAAAAAAACACGCGCAACCTTTTTTGTGTTGCTGCCATCGTTCATAACTCGCAACTCCCTATGTCGCTCACTTTCTCCTTCAAATATATTCTTTACCCTGGATTTACTTATACTTCATTGATGGGCTAGTAATTAGTACTTCGTGGTGATCATAGTCAATCTCGACTCGATCACCGCTAAAAATCTTATTCAGTTGGCAGTTATACATATAATCCCAGTGAGCGCATTTATCTCAAGATAGTAATTTCTGAATACCTGAAACAATTACAATTACCCTACATGAAGTTAGTAAGTTGCATTGTGAAGAAGAATAATAAAAAGAAAATTGTAATGCTGATGAAATTTCAAAGCTAGGTAAATACATTAATAAGTCAATTAGCTAGTAGCGTAAATACTATGAGAAGATCGAAGTGTACGCATAAAAGAATAAACGGAGATTATAATAAGTCAGATGTAGTAAGTTAGTGATACAAAGAAGTGATAAAGATAACGACACGAAAGTTTCAAGACTCATACCAGACACAAATGGTTACGTTAAACATAGTTTACATTTAAAAGGCTCTTCTTTTATTCAATTTGATGAACATGTGACCTCATTTTTAGTATTTTTTGTACTGTCTGTGAAAGTCTAGTAATTCTCAGTATATATTGATTTTAATGAACGCATTTTTAAATGCTTGTTTTTCGGTGAAACGCTTCTTTCATATAAACTAAAATTATTGTTTTATTAAATTAGTCAGTCAACAACAACAACAGAGAACTTCGTACGGCATGTAGATCAATTGAAGTTGCCATACCATATTAGCACAGAGAGGCAGCTGTCAGTTCCAATCCAATTGTGGTAGAGAAATATTAGCAGTAATCGTAAATTTCAGGGCTCGACGATATGATTCGAGAAGTATAACTTTCGAAATAGAGATGATCAGGGATTCTGAGAACTAGAATTAGAGAGGACAAAAAAAGTGGATTCACCTGCGCTAACGCAAACAGTTTTGGGCACTGTCATTCAAGGTCTCTGAATATCGATTACTAATATCTCGCGGACCCAAACCAGGTAGTCGGCACCTACCAACATGACCCAGTCCACTTGTCAGTGAATTCATGGATTTTTAGTGGCGAGAGATACCAGATTGTCTATGATCATCACTAAATGTTCCATACTGTCCCGTCACGTACATCAAAATAAATCCATGTTTGAGTATTTTATTGAAGATATTAGGCATTACATGGGGAGCAGCACATTTGGAAAAATGGCAGCGCGCAAGAAGTGTTTTTGGTACAGTTAAACAAAACGAGTACAATGATGTTTATTTTTCACAAATCGCATTTTCTTCGTAAAAGCGTTCCACTACAGCAGCCCTCCTAGAAAGGCTTGATACATAGCGGCTGCGTTCGGGGGGTGGGCTGTTCGGCCAACATTTGATTGTAGTGCGGAAGGGTTGACGAACAGGAAGCGACCAATGAAGCTCGTGTTGTCACCGATAGTCTTCTAAGTTGAACTGTACCAGTAGTAACGTGCCAGGTTTGCTGCTCGAGTTAATGTGCCAAGTTTGTCTATCGGATTGGCATGCCACACCAGCGTGGCTCGTATCCAGAGTCTGTAGGTTGCGTTCGTAGGGGTCCGGACCAGATAAAGCTGCACACGTAGGATGGAACCAGATTGAGCGAAGGAGCTAGAAGCTGTGGCAACGACCAGTGCGAAACCAGAACATCGACTGAGTGCATTGACAAGAGCGTGGGTGACCAGGCCAACTTTCGCCAAGGTTGACTGAAGTTGACGGTACCAACATGGCTATGGTCGGAGGCGTGGGCTCAGGATAGACAAATAAAGGAAAAAGAGAAACGTGTAACATACATGTAGTACGAGGATAGTGTTCTATCGCGTATTCGTTGTTGATTGGGATATTTGTCGCGAAAGCTTATAGGTAGGCGTACGCAGTAACTAGAACGCGAGACGGCAGTCTCGTGCACACCTCGTGAGCCTGCAATCTCATCCCAAGTCGAGAGCGGCGTGGTCTGCTGCTCTGGACGTGAGACCGGAGTCTCATCCGTAGATAGGGCAGATGACGCGTGCTGTTGACTGGGACGTGAGAAGGAGGTCTTTGATGCATCTAGCGTGGGATCAGGAGGAAAAATAAGGATCCCGCTAGTGAGTTGGACGAATCCAGCATTAAATCTCGATTTACCAGGTAGGGCACTGTCATTGACATGTGCTGGTATGAGATGATCAATGCTGACTGCGTCCATCAACCTTAAAGGTCTTTTCGTGACGACAGATCACGTGCAAAGATTCTTCATAAGGTTGTTGAGTACCGAATGTACTCGTAAGAAAACTTGCGGACAGGTAAACAACTCTCGAGGGAGAGCGACCTGTCGATATTATATTCGAGTTCACACCGGAGACAGTATTCGCATCTACGCAAATAGTCGTTGGACGTTATCTGATATACCTAAAATCGATGCTCCGTGGTGTAAAAAATTCCCCAGGCGGATGCAATGTCGTGCCGTATACAAGTTCAGAGGCGGAACATTGGATATCTGCCGTCGCTGCTCCGTAATCGCAATGTCGTCTCCAAAAAAGCCATCTTTCTGCGAACCGAGTGGAGTCTTAAGGACTGTGAGAAAGACGAAGCAATATATACAGCAAGTAAACTGTCAAAATCACGCTTAGCGAAAACTAATCTGTCTAGTGCAAGTCGGAAAGGTTTTGCCGTGACTGGGAGTCTGTAGGTGATGATGTGGATTGACATATAA